CGCCGGCGGGGGACGGAAGCCGGCGGGATTTGGGCCCCTTGGCTTCCCAGCATCCCTTGCGAGACGACCCGGTGGACCTGCGACCGCTCCGACCTGCGCGAGTCGGCGTCGAGTCCCAGTCCAGTCCCAGTCGTCGTCCTCCAGGACCTCGGGCGGGCCCTCTTCCTGTGCGCATCCGGGTCAGGTCGGAGTCAGGAAGATCCAAGATCCCCAGGCGCCAGGCCCCTGCCCAGCGGCACCCAGCGCTCGCCAAGAAGCCCGATCAGCTCGCTCACCCGGAAGACCAGCACCGCGGGACGACCAGCCTCCGGGACAGCCTCCCCTGCCACCGCCCGCGGGAGGCGCGGCGGCCAGCCCAGTTGTTCAGCGCGCGCAGGACCCAGGGCCCGGCGGCCGCCCCCGGGCCCGTGCGCCGACGCCCATCCCCGGAGCGCCCGCTCGGCGCCGCCAGCCAGCCAGCCAGCCAGCCAGCCACCCACCCACCCGATGGCCATGCGGCCCCGCAGCCCCGGCGCCGACCCTGCGCCCTGCTGCGCGCCGCAGCAGCACGGGGGACCCGGCCCAGCCAAGCGTCGCCGCCTGGAGGACCACGCTGGACCCGAGACCCGCGCAGCGCCCCTCCTCCAAGACCCCGCGGATCCGCCCGGCACGCCAGCGCCCACGCCCACCTCCACCTGCGTCTCCGTGCTGCTCCTGGGCGCGCGCTGCGCCCTGCAGCTGCCCCTGCAAGACGGCGGCCAGCTGCTGCTGGAGCCCGCGCCCGACTCCGTCCTGCAAGTGACCCTGCAAGACCACAGCCTCCTCCTGTGCTCCACCCACCGAGGCTCCGCAGGGCAGAGCCACTCTCTTGAAGGCCTGGACGCGCCGGGAGCCCACCTGGGCCCTGCCCTGGGGAACCACGTCGTCGTCGTCGTCGTCTTCGTGGAGCAGCGGGGATTCTGCGCCTCTGTCCCAGAGACCCCGGAGATGGCCGGCCACGAGGAGGCCCAAGCCCATGAGGACGCGCACCCGGTGTTCCTGGCGCCCTACCCGGACCCTGCAGCCGGCTTCACTGCTGGGCTCCCGCTCTGGCCCGCAGCAGTGCCGAGCCACCACCCCCCGGGCCCGGTCCCACAGCCCTGGCCTCTGCCGCCCGCCAGTCCTTTCGCCGGGGGCTCTCCCGGCCTCGTCTTCGACCAGGACGACTTCCATCTGCCCAGGCCCTTCCCCACCTCGCCGCTCCAACCTCTGCCTCCCTTTCCGACTCCCTGGCCCCACGAGCGCCCGGCCCGCCTTCCGG